TTATTGAGATTCGCTGAAAAAAGTGAATTATATTGTATTACGCATTTGATAAATGGAAATTAACTCATTTCTGGCTTCACTGAGTAGAAATTTTCTTCTGCCAAAGACAGTTAGGTAATTGGCATGATTGGATTGACCGAACTAAATTTGAATGACATTAGTAAGGGGTTAAGGAATATAAGCACTTGCTTAGAGCATAAAGGAAAGGGGACACCAAAAAGTTTCGCACTGCCAGTTTTATCATAGAATGCATGGTGAAGCTAAATAGAGAGAAGAAATGAAGAATACACTGGTAGAAATATATAGGGGCACAGAAACCTTTTAAGCACTTAGGGCCTCTAAATGTCTTAACCGGTACTGGCTATTTGGGTGACGTTATGTTGCTTCACCAATGACACATCCAGGGCTAAGAATCATTTTCTTTGTTATACATTACCCATAATCATCTATTTATAATTTCAGTCTTAGTTGTCATATATCCATGCTTGTTAATAACAAAATGGATTGTGACGTACAAGTGTACACTTCGTTACGGAATCTTTAACAGATAATTTACATCACTACCTAAGTTACAGTAAAATTACATTTCTTCTGCATAAAATGTATAGCCTATATCTATTAAATTTAAATTAAAACCAAGCTACTATTTTTTACAATACATCTATATGCAAGGGAAATCAAAAATACAATAAATGCTGTTGGAGTGTTATCCAATGGAAATGCAAGTTCATCAATACAAGAAGAAATAACACCAAGCCTCAGTGAAAATGTGGATGCAGAACTTTTTCAACTACAATGGCCACGATGGGCAACATAATTAAGGTGGGCACATCCAGGGCTAAGAACTATTTTCTTAGTTATACATTATCTATAATCATCTATTTATAATTTTGGTCTTAATTGTCATAGATCCATGCTTGTTAATAACAAAATGGATTGTGAAAATACACAATTCTTTGCATTATTCTGTTCACATAACCATGAAAGAAAGCTCAATTTGGTTTAAAAAAATATTATCCCTTTCTGAATTGTGGTTTGCTTAAATCTTTGCGTTTTTCATTATTAGAATGTGGGGAAGTGCATCCAGTTCAACGTTTTCATTAATTTTTTTGTTGTTGTTAGAAGTAGGTGGAAAAACGCATCTAGCTAACTATAGCGAGTGTAACGTTGCGAACTTTCGTGCTGGAAAAACTCAGTTCAGTTGTCCCTTTTTATATTTATTTTAAAACTTACTTAGCTAATTAAAAAGTAACTTTACAGCATTATTACAGAAGAGGGAAAGACACCAGCTTTTTCCCAATTCGTGATGCATCTTACCTGCTCGGCGAAAAAAGGTGTCATTGTTCTCTGTGTCAATCCTCATTTTGAATTATTCCACACACAGCAGAATTTTTAAATTGGAATTTAACTACCGACAGATAAGTATTGTTTAATTTTTTTTACATTTTGTATTTCAAATTTTGCTACCACGTGTATATTTTATAATATATTAGCTATAATTTTAGTATTTTGCATGTTTCATTTCTTTCTATTAACGCTATATTCTTTATAATGATACAAATTACGAATAAGTACACTAAATACGTATCATAATGCTGATTTTATACAAATTTTTTTGAAAAATTAGGCTTAACCGCTGAAAATGCATGGGTCGGTGGTTCTTTATGAGGGGTTCAGCTCATAACTGCATGTTTTCTGCATTCTAGTTCTCAAAGGTTTAAAGGACAGCTATGAACCATACACTCTATAGCATGCAGACTACTGATTGCCATTTGCAAAGTCAGTAGTGTCAAGCTAGAGCTCACTGGAGGACAGAGTGGTGATCTTTTGAATTTTCAGCAGGTTCTGCCTTGGACTCAGTGATGGCCGTTACGTTGGTTAGAAGGAGGCCAGGTGAGCGCCTGCAACCAATCTGTCTGTGGCCTAGACACAATTGGACCTACCTGGAGTTGTGGTCTGGGGAGCAATATCATATGACAACAGGAGTATTCTTGTGGTTTCCCATGCACCTGACTACAAATTTGTACATCAGTCTGGCGATTCAACCAGACTGCTGCCATACAGCATTGAAGGGAGTGTTTTCCAACAGGATGACATTCACTTTCATACTAATGTTGTAACCCAACATGCTCTACAGAGTGCCAAAATGTTGCCTTGGCCGACTAGATCGTAAGATCTTTCTCCACTCGCACGTATGGGACATCACTGGATGACAATTCCAACAGCATCCACAACTAGCATTAATCAACCCTGTATTGACCGACCAACTGCAACAGGCATGGAACTCCATCCACAAAACTGACATTCTGGTGGTTACACAGGTTCTTAATGTACCAGCATTTCATATTTGAAATGGCTCTTCTTGCACTTGCATTAACCAGTGATCTTGAAAATGTAATTAATTAAATATGTTACAAAGAAATATATATTGCTGAAATTTCATTACTGTACACTAATTTTTTTGGTGTGTTAAGGTATTTTTTCCATCAGTGCATTATCAACCGCATTCAGAAAATCAAATGGTCACTAAAGGGCTACATGATGAACTATTATTAATAAAAACCTTCATCTGCTTAACAGAAAGCATGTTTTTTTCACTGTGACAATGCATCTCGCATATGGCATAAAAACACTGCAAAAAATTAAGACAATCTGAACAAGAAATTAGTCATAGTTCACATTCACTATAATACTTATCAAATGCACATCATTTACCATTTTTTCACATTATCTTCAAATCTGCTTTAAAGAAATTTTTTTGTTTAATTCTGCATGAATTAAAGAATAATATGAATCTGATTAACTGTTAGCCCCATTTATACCGATGGGCCCAAGTCTGAATCCTGGTGAAAGCATGGACCTTTGTAAACATACAGTGTCTGTGTGGCAAGAAAACATTCAAAATAGATAGCGAGCTAAAGTTTTCTTGAGAGGTTGGTGGTAGGCGAAGAAAGTTGAGAGATCATCGGACTTAACCCACCTCAGGATGTTATCGCTCAAACTTGATGCACAACAGTATAGTAACAGTGGAACTACACCTGTAAGACGAATGTTAGGCTTCTGATGGCCCGTCCCCTTCTACCTGTACCTGTATATTATTTATATAGGACTTTCTAGATATGTGTACACAGTATTTTATGATTGTTTTTATCTTCATCATGCTCGGATCATATTTTGTATGAAAATCACCCTCACACTGCTACTTTGAGACAATACAATATAACCACATGGAAGCCCAGATGCTACTATGTTTGCCCAAGTTGTCCGAACACAGCTTGATTCATTCTTTGAATTAAAACATGAGAACTTCTTTCACTAGCATATTAAAAATTAAGATTGCTACAGGTTGAAATAACAGAGACCAAAACAAGTTCATCAAAAACGTGCAAACACACTCTAAATGATGAAAACTTTCATGTTGATAGTAAATTTTTTTAATACATCACAAGATGAAAATAAAATAGCTTGAAACTGTCATTACAAGAGGTGCTCAAAGTGATGGTCACTAAGGGACAGATACTTATTACAGTAGCTCCTCCTACAATATTGACCACAGTGGCCATAAGGATTATTGCATATACCATTTTAATTCCTTCAGTAGTAGCCAAAGTGGTCAATTTTCTGCTATTCTGCATTCAGCATATCACTAACCACATGCAAAAATCATAGAATATAAATCTTCCACGTTGTTGCTTTCAGAATGCATAGTTGACTTGTACTGGGCAAACTTCTATAGCGCATATAAACTTTTTCAGCACCAGACCTGATTAAGCAAGACTCACTACTGTAAAACGTAGGCTGGATTTTCATGTGTGCAAACAACAGATGGTATTATGTATCTCAGAATGTAATTATCAGTGAACACATGCCTCCACTTTGACTGCACTTCAACAACATTCTCAAATTTGGAACATTACTTTGAAAATGCTCCTACCTCCCAAATGTAAATGTGCCAGCTGTTAGGATTTACTACCATGTGCCACATGTTCATTTCATAGTTATGTAAGCAACAACATCTAATGAGATGAATCCAACCATACACTGCTATAGTTTGACCGTCTCACCCGTGACCATAAGCGCAAACACGCATGCACCATTCGAACTGAATTATTCTCAAAATAGGGTGGAAGGATGGGGACTTTCTTTCCCTCCAGCATAGCTCTTTTCAGAGAAGAGAAGACCTTTCATGTCGCAGCAAGTAATACCGCCCCTTTTGGATGAGTCTATGTGTTTTGGCAGATTGCCAACCAGGGTTGCGCTTCAGACGGTCAAACTATACCACTATTTCATCTCACTTTGAAAGAAGTACATAGATATCAATTGTTAAATATTATACACTTTTTGGCAGACTGCATATCTAGATTTCTTTTACTGCAAAGAGGTGCATTACTAACTGATGACCCAACAGATACTATAAGGATGCTTACCACTACTGATAAATTTAAAGATAAATGAATCTTTTTGTTAACTGATATTCTAAAGATAAAATACGTATATCACATCTACAAGCCACCCCCAACAACATGTCAAAAGAAACATTTTGTGGAATTTTTATTTTCAGGATACCCACTTAGTTGACTTACATGAAAACTAGTTCTTCAGAGAAATAGTACTAGGGGCAGAGCTTCAAACAAAACATTTTCAATTAAATTTTTAAAAATCTCGTTTAATTAGGTGGGATATGGCATTCAACAAAACATGTTTCAGCCAGAAACCCTCAAATGGCAGGTGATGGAAAAGTCTTTTCCAAGCCTCATATCTGATATGCTCATCAAAAAAGTTATACATGCAATATTAAAGAAATATAATCTCATTTTACTCTTTATTTCCTATATTAGAAGATTTTTCTTTGGTAAATACTCAGCAGTTGTACATCATTTTTATACCTGACTTATTTAAATTATGCATGGAAAGGTATTGAGATACATATATTTTAAGCCCCCCCTCCTAAATGACAACTTAAACAAAAAACATCAGTGATGATGCAAAGCACAAATTTCTCAATAATGAATGGATTTTATTGCTATACCATAATCAATCCACAGAATTCAAAATTCTGCCATAATTTAATTAAGAAAATAATAAATATAAGCATGGAGCAAGAATATAAATAAAACCAATGTAATAGAACAGTTTTTTAAAACAATTATACAGTAACTGTACAACTGTTTTAGAAACAAATTTGTACAAAAATCTTGTTTTACTTAAAGCATTTTATACAGTCTTATTTTACTGAAAGTTGGAACACTGCTTAAAATTAGAAGTGCTGCATTTATTTCAAGGTATGTAAAATGTGCTTTAAAGAGCAATGTACATAAAAACTAATTTATACAACAATACAAGTTCTTTACTAACTTTTTTGTACAACATACTTTTTTTGTATAAGTATGTGAATTAAAATTTAAACTCCTTATATTTCTTTGGTGGTTTTGCACTGTCCATTTGCTGTTTCTTTCTCTTATTTTTCTGACGAGCTGCATGTTCAGCAACCATGTCACTCAAATCTTCCTTCTCTAACTGCGACTGCTGTTCACGCATAGTCTGTTCATACCGTGCTGCCATAGCTGCAGTGTCCATTTCCAACTCGCTAGGATCTAGAGCTACTTCAATGCCCTGTGGAGGCACAGATGTAGTACCAGGCATTTTCAACTTACTAGCAGGTATGGCAGCAGACAGATCATAAATATGGGTTGATCCCATCATGGCAGCACCAACTCGCTCAGTTTTCTTCTCAGGAAGGATAGTATATAATGCTGGAGTTTCACCACCTTCCATTTCCGACTCAATTTTTCTTTTACGCAATTCTATCATATCTGGTGTTTCCATACCAGCTGGAATTGAACTAAATCCGCTAGGAGTAATCAGGCCTTCTGCAGGTGTCACTAGGCCACTCTCATCCTCTGCCTTTTCTTCCTCTTCCTCATCTTCTTCCTCCTCTTCATCTTCTTCCTCTTCAGATGATTCAGATTCAAGTTCTCCCCACAAAGTATGATCTATTTCTTCCTCTTGGATATTAGGTTGATTTTCTGCGATTTGGGTTCCGAATACGTCTCCATACAAAGGACGTCCTGTTTCATCCACTGGAGGCTTTCCCCAACCACCAGCATGATAACCAAATGAACAGCCTTCAGGAATGGGTGCATTCAGGCCTGGAATTTTTAAATTTGGATAAGAAGGAGGAGGACCATAACGCTGCATTGCAATAAGCCAAGGTGGTGGACACTTATTTGCATTTGGTCCTGTGGGCATACCTAAAGCTGTTCTTAAATCTTCACTAAGATCACCTGGCTTTTTTTCCTTCAATCGAGTTTCAAATTCTTTACCTTCATAATATAAATCCCCATGAATTGTCATTCTTGGTTTTGTCTGCCATTTAAAAAATGCATCATGAAGTTTTTGATAGTCTATGTCGATTTTGCCCAATTTTGGTCGCACTCTTTCCCTCATTTTAGCTTTCATTGTTTTTTGGTCCTCTTTCTCCTGCAAAGCCTGTCGCATTTCCATAATTCCAGTTCTTTTAATAAAATCTGGAAGCTCAAAAGCTGGTTTTTCTATGCCTCGTTTACCCTGTAAATATTTACGCTTGAAACACCAGTGACGAGGAACTGGTACAGTATTACGAGATGCTTTTAAATGAAGTAATAGGACAGGATCCTTTGCAGTCACATCATGCATCTCAACCAGTTCAGGGCGACTAACTTTCTGTTTCAATTCAGCTACACTCATTCGACTGAGTTTTTTTAGTTTTCTTTTAGATAATTTGGGTTTTTCTTCATCTTTTCTGTCATCATCATCTCTCTCATCGTCATCATCATCATCTAAATCTACTGGTTTCTTCCTAAGGGACATTGGATTTATATTTTCCTCTTTGTTGACATCTTTCGCAGCATCAGTGGATGCTTCTTCTTTATCTTTTTCACCTTCAGTTAATTTGAATTTTTCAAATATTTTCATAAATTGTGAATAAAGAGGATCACTAACATCCATGACTTCCTGTACATATTCAATATCTATATCTACACTAGTTTCTTTAGATTTTGAAGAGCTTTCACTTCGCCTATGAGTCTCCTTTTTTCCTTCTTTGTTAGTATGACGCTTCTTCTTCTTCTTTTTGTGCCGTCTACTTTTTGATTCCTTATTTTTCTTTGCTGATTCTTCTTCTTCTATATACTCATCTTCATCAACAGAAACTAATGGTACAACAGACTGTTTAGCAGATGATCCTTTTTCTTCAGAGACCGACAAAGGCTGAACAACTGAATCTGGATCAACACCTAAAAGCTGAGCTCGTTCCGTTTTTAGTGCTAAAACCTTTTCCAATGCTTGTGGAAGTTTTATCTCATTCGATGAATTTTCAGTGGTATCCATACTTTCAGATATGTCTTTATTTGCTTCAAGCTCTGCAGTAAGATTATGGTTTACACCTGTCACGCTACTAGGAAGAGATTTTGAGATTTCCTCATTAACTTGAGTTATTTGTGGAGGAGGAGGTAGAGCTGCCGTGACAGGAGTTTTCAATGTACTCACAGTAGGTGGAGGTGGTGGTGGAGGTGGGAACCTTGAAGCAGCAACAGAAACTTGGATACTGGGCAGAACAGATGGATGTGGTGGAGCAGAAACCATTGGAGGAGCAGAAACCATAGGTGGTGCAGGTGGCAAAGTTGGTGGGATATTAGTCATAAGAACAGTAGGTGGTGGAGGCATGATGTTCATTACATGCACTGGGGCTGGAACATATGGGGGAGCAGTCATTGGAAGAGGTGTAGCTGAACTTGCAGATACAGTTATCTGATTACCAAAATGCTCAGTTTGAACATTATCTTTTTCTTGCAAAACTCTCTGCTGTAACTGGAAAAGTTCTTGCTCCTTTTTTTGTCTTTGAAGTTCTTCTTCAGCTAATAATCGTTGTTGTTCTTCAGCTAACATACGTTGTTGCTCAGCAATATACCTCTGCTGCTCTTCAGCAAGTTGTCTTTGCTGCTGTTCTTCTAAAAGGCGTTTCTGTTCCTCAGCTTTTAGTCTCTTTTTATGCTCTTCTTGTGCTCGTCGCATTTGTTCCTCAACTAACCATCTTTCTTGTTCTTTTTTCATTTCCTCTTCCTCAGCCATTCTTCGTTCAAGTTCAGCAGCAACTCTTTTTTCTTCCCGAATTCTTTGCTCCTTCTCTTCTATTACTCTCCGTTCTTCTCGAATTCGTTTCTCCTCTTCAGCTTTTTTTCTCTCTTCTTCTTCTTCAGCAGCCCTTTTTTCCTCTTTGATTCGTTGTTCTTCATTTTGACGTCTCTCTTCCTCTTCCGCAGCCACTTTTTTCTGCGCTTCTTCTAATTTTTTTCTTTCTTCAGCCTGTACTCGTGCTTCTTCTGCTTTTAACTTAGATTCTATTTCAGCTTTCCGCATGGCCTCCTCTTCAGCTTTTTGCTTTGCTTCTTTCTCAGCTTTTTGTCTAGCTTCATTTTCCTTAGCTTCATCCTCAGCCTTTTTAATCTCCTCTTCTGCCTTTTGTCTAGCCTCTTCCTCTTCTTTTTGTCTACCTTGTTCTGCAGCTATTGCTTTAGAAGCTTCTTGTGCAGTTTTAATCTGCTGTTCCACATCTTTCATTAATTCTTCATCCATCTCACTTTGATTTATAATTTGTTCTTTCTGTGACTCAAGCTCATCTTCAGCATCTTCTGGTTGAACAAAATCATCTTCATCAACAGTCATTGCTTCTTCAGTTTTGCCATCTGAAAAAATGATCAATTTTACATAAATTAAAATAAAATAGAATGTTTATTACACATTATAAAATTCATTATTTAAAAAATATATACAAGCATATATGTCATCAAATGTATATATATTAAAATTTATACCTTTGAAATCTTATGTACTTTATTCAGAATACTGAAAAATACTTGCAGAGTCAATATACAGAGTACTACCTAAAGTGCTGGATTTTTCTAAATTCTTAAAAAAATAATCATGTCCATGAAGTTGAATTTTTTCAGCAAGAGAAAAATTTTAATTCTAATTTTTGATGACATATGGCAGCATCATAGGAAGCACAAATATGGGAAAAACTAGAAAAAACTGCCCACCCACCAAACTCTATTTTTTTTCCTTTCTCAAGTTACATTTACAGATTTTTTAATGATGACTTATCATTAGTTTGAATGATAAAATAATGTTGGCGAAACTTTTTTACCCAAGAGGTAAATTAGCTGTTTCATTTTTACGATACTTTCATACACAGAAACAGGAGATAAGCCGAGACTGATAATACTAACACTCTTATCCAGTGTTATGAGGAAACTAAGATGATCAAAGCAGCAATGGTAACAAATTCTTGTGCAAACCATGTAGCAGCACAATTCTAGATTTTAGCAGTACAGTCTATGACAGATATCAGAAGTGTTCGGAAAACTGCAAGAATCATGAATGAGTCTATCAAATTATGTTGTTGATCTTACACTGCAAGATGCAGCTGTATCCCCACAAACTGCAACCGGGTAATATAAACAAAAGCAATTTGCTATGTGGGCCCTTGAAAGGGTGCTGATGTTTAACTCCAAATTGTATGCTAAAGTACATATCGTTAATACTCATACCTCTTGAATATGCTCCAAAAGGCAATTCTTGCACACACACACAAAGAAGGTATTGCTCTCATTACACTCTAATTTTATTAAAAAAAAAAAAAAAAATCTGGCGAGTCAGCTGCTTTCAACCCACACACAGTTTGAGCTAGAAATAAGCATGTCCAGTAAAAAATTTCCTGAAACAGAAAATCCTTGCTCATAGGCATTTTAATGAGAAAGTCATAACAATCATTTAATAATTTTACTTAAATTTGGGTACTTTATGATATCAGTTACATGGTGCAATTCAGACAGAGGCTCCACTGCTTATCTATAAGAACATTAACCTCAGCTTTAGGACCATCTTGAAGCTACCGAAGTTCCCACCTCATGAATTATCATAAGGCACACTGAAAGATAACACTGTGCTAACAGCTAAAAAGGTCTGCTACAGAATTTTTTAATATAAATTACTTACCAATACTAATGCTTGATCTCTTTACTGTTATTGATTTATACAATAGATTTAACAGAACATTTCCCCATTATGACAAATTTGATAAGTAAAAATGACTAGAAGTAACTTTAGCAGAAGAGACAAATTTTAGAAATGAGAAAAAGACACAGTTGTATCTCTAGTTATTACTGAAAAAGATACCACTCATAATCAGTAAATGTTTTATTTTGAAGTGTTTTGAAAGCTAAATATAATTTTCAACACTCTTACGCATACTTGCCAACCTATGACACTAAAAAATCAGGAGATTATTTTAACCCTTTCGTGCCTAACGGGACACATACGTGCCAAGCAAATTTCAAAAAATACTCTTCGGATAGAAACGCTTCTCTGTCTAATGGGAGACTTTCCCACCAGTCCTGCCAATATTTTTGAAGGTATTTTCATTCACAGAACATGGATGGCACTACCGTACATAATGCAATTCCCACGTTTTTGAAGTGTTGTAGCAGCTCATTCCATACTCTACGAACGTAAATAGTTTAGTTTTGGGAAATACTGCCTATTTTTGATTAAATTTTGATTTATCCATAAATCTAAGGCCAGATGACGAAACGGATTACCTCTAATAAACTGGTAAGTGGCAAAGTTTTACTACAGTTTTTCTCGTCTTGGATAGTGGGAACACATTGTCCCAACAGTCCTATGTGATCATTTCTCTAGATATTATATTTTTCGGTTACTTTTGAAATAGTTGCTTATTATTTTTAATTTAGGCACATATTAATTCAATCTAAAATGACTCGACGCCGGGGACTTACTAATGAAGAAATCAAAAAAATTTTAGAAGAGTCAGATGACGAAGATATTGATTTGGATGATGAAATAGATGATCCCGATTTTCAAGATCCAACACACAATTTGCAGTACTCATCCGATTCAGACGAGTGTGAAATGGATATCGATCATGATACCATTCCCCAAAATACAAAGAACAGCGATGCTTTGAGTGATACTGATACGGCATCACTTTCATCAGTTGATGAGATACCATCAGCTAATGCTTCAGGCTGCAAACCAATCTTATGGTTTCATGCAGATTCAACTTTCCAACCTCGAATGACAATTCCAGCAGAGTCATCGCCTAGTTTGTTATTCAAATTAAATCGTTCAGCTACCGAATTGGACGTGTTTCTCAAGATATTTCCAAAAAATCTTATGATTTGGATCTCTCAATGCACAAACCAACGACTCGAAAAGTTAGGACAAACAATTCACCCTACAGACCCCTCTTAAATTATGCTTGTCCTTGGATGCATGCTTGTCATGTCTTACAATAGGGTGCCGAAATTCTCTCATTATTGGTCATCTAATCCTTCTTTGGGAAACGTAGCAATAAAAAATGCTATTTCAAGAGACAGATGTAAAACGTTGCTGTCGAAACTATATTTTGCTGCACCAGAAAAGCCAGAAAATGCAAGTAAAACATATTATATTGACGAGGTTGTTTTGTGCCTGAAACAAACCTTCAAACAGTGCCGAAGCGAAAGCTCATATCAAGCTATTGATGAATCAATGGCAAAATTCAAGGGACGTTCATCCCTCAAACAATATATGCCGATGAAACCTGGGAAAAGAGGGATAAAAATTTGACAGCGATGTGATTAAAAAACAGGATATGTATATGACATGAGCATTTATTCCGGAAAAGAAACGGGTGAAGTTCAAGGCACACTCGGGGAACGGGTAGTATCAAAGCTAACGGAGACAGTCCGAGGTAAAGACGTGATGCTTGCATTTGACCGATTTTTTACTGCACCTGATGGAAACTCTGAAATTTCCTGCTGTTGGTACATGCATCAAGGCACGCAAAGATGTTCCTAATTTTGCAACAAAACTAAGCAAAAGGGGTGAGGCTGAGTTTCTTGTAACTAAAAATGGAGCATTGTGTGCGAGATCGCTTGATTCAAAGGAAGTGATGATGCTAAGTAATTGCCACGAAGCTAAATACAGTAAAGTAAATCGCACCATGAAAGATGGAAGCAAAGAAGAATTTGAGTGCCCTGTGGCAATCGAATTCTACAACAAAATCATGGAAGGTGTAGACCTTGCAGATCAAATGGCAAATGTCTATGAATTAGATCGAAAATCTTGCAAGTGGTGGAAAAAAGTATTTTTTCGCCTATTGATGAGCGCAGTGGTCAACTCATGGATTGCGTACTGCGAACTCAAACATCGAAAAAACCCACTTCTTGATTTCATTGTACCTCTTGCAGAAGCCTTGATGGCGTCCGGAAAGCTCAACGCACAGTATCAACGCCGTAGAGGAACTGGACGCCCATCCAAAACATCACGAAGCTTACTCAATGTTGGTGACCATCTGCCAGTAACAACAAAAACACGACGGCGGTGCCGTAGATGTGCACAACAAAAGAAGGAACGATGTGTAATGTCGCATTGTGCATTGATTGTTTCAAACCATACCATTCGTAATTAAATTTTTATTACTAGAAAATCTTTGGTTTTCTTTACAAAATTACTCATTGAAGACTACTGGGACACATATGTCCCAGCGGTCAGGACTGATGGGACATATATGTCCCGGTCCTAAAACAGTGTTCAAAATTTTTCTAAAAATATAGCATCTTAGTTTTTAGCATTCTAGAGTTCCCTACTCATAGTTTATGTTATCAAAATTGTTCTGTTGTAAAAAAAAACTCGTCGCGAAAAGGTTAAGAAACAGGAGATTTTTCTCAATGACAAAGAGATTTTTAAATAATAAAAAATACAGTTTTAATAATAAATTATAAATAGCTGCTAATTAATATCTCAAAGTTCAGTTACTAATTCTTAAATGCGAACAGTACATTCTGCATTGATAACTTTTTGGTCCTTTGTTTCCACAGAAAAAATTAATTTTTTTGTTTTTTTTCAATGGAACTCATGTTGTCCATGTGTACACACAATGTTTGAGAACTTCGGCCAATCCACTGTGCAAAATCGAAAAATCACAATGACAAACAGTACACATCACAAATGTACATTTCCTTGAGGAAATACTAAAAGGAAAGTCATCTGTGTATGATTTTTGAAAGTACACGAGCATTTTACCTTTTTTCGCAGACATAACTATAACAAAAGTTCGCAACTTCTTAAACTATTTCTCAAAACCATGTGCACTTACACCGCTCAGTGACAAGATGAACGAAATAACAAACTCTGTCTTGATTTGTGCGCAATAGCTAATACATGCCAGATGACACGCACTTGTGCTCGATGCTCATTGGAGAACTGGAACAAGATGTTTTTGGACACAAGCTCTCACTCATGAAGCAGGAGAGTGGCATAACTTCTCGCTGATGAAATACTTTGGTTTTCCTATATAATCTAGAGAAGAACCAAGTGCTTTCAGTTGCCCCAAATCACAACAAAGTATTAAGCCAAGCTACATAAAAATTGTGAGAAATTTTAAGAATAAGAGAAAGTCAGGAGAAATATGTTGTAAATCAGATTGGAAGAACGGTGGAAAATCAGGAGTCTCCCACTTACCTCTGCTTATGTTTGCAAATGTGAATTACACAATCTTTTTCTTAAGATCCATTTTTTTAAATTTTCAATTCAATTATTAACCACTTCTCAGAAAATCTCTATTTTATCTGTTAAGAACATTTTGTCTTCAACTGACATACATAAACTTGTATAAAGAAAT